TAGTAGAAGAATATCATGTAAGGAAAAATATCCTCTAAGTAAATTACACCTAGAAAATTTTTACTTTAGAAAATTAACTTTCATTTGTAATGCTAACAGCAAGACACCCATGTAAAACATACATGGTGTCAAAACAATCCAAAGGAAAATAGTTTGGGCAAAAAATGAAAAAGGATTGCAAATCAAATTTATAGAAAAGATTCTTTTATTAACTTTTGGTCGAGAATATGTTTGTATATTTTCAGAAAACAACTCTGAGACCAAGTGGATTACTGCAACAGAGAGGAATTGACAGGACTACTCCAGCCATAAAGACAGAAGATAAACAGTCCAGATGATGCCTTGGCATATTAGCAGTCAGCAGCTGTGCATCACTCCAAGTTTCCCAGGACCAAACCAGACAGGGTCCGACCTGCATTACCACCATTTGTCCACCATCCAGAACTGAAATATCATTACTGACATGTACACATAGGAACTGTTCGACATTGAAATTGGGACTCAAAAGAACTGTTGGCCCAGAAAGAAACTCACTATAGACTGATTCATTTGCCTCTCAGCATAACCGTTATTGTTTGTCTCATTTTCAATTCTTATAAGTGTATTTCTAGTAGCACATGATCTTACTCATTTAGGGGAAATGGTGAACAACATAGACTGATGAACAAGAGCAAACACGGAGACAAGGAAGCATAGATCAGACTGTCAGACCTCAGAGGGAAGGTAGGGGAAGGTGAGGATAACGATAACGAGGGAGAGATCACCCATACGACTTGTGTGCATGCATATGAGCCTAGCCAGTGGTCACGGACAACAGGGGGGTGGAGGCATGTGTGGGGAGGGGTTTAGGATGGGAATGGGGAGATGAGGACAAATATGTGATACCTTAATCAATAAAGAAATTAAACAAAAAACAAAAAACCTACCTGTAGCCCATGGGTAAGAGAGAGGCATTACGGCTTTAAGATAAAGCAAACTATTTTAATCTATTATTTTACCTACTAGAAGCCCGATGCATGGATTTGTGCACTGGTGTAGTCCCTCGGCCTGACCTGCGTGGACTGGATGAAATTGGCTCTCCAACATCCCCTGAAGGGTCCCAGATTGCAAGAGGGCACAGGCCAGGCTGAGGGATCCCACACCAGTGCATGGATCCAGGCCTCTAATCTCTTCCCACCCTCCCTCTATCCCTCTTCCCTCTGAGATTCATCAGTTTGTTCCATGTTTCCATGCCTGTGCATTGAGCGTCTGTCCCATGGTGGTCAGTGCGCGTCATAGCTACCAGTTGAAAGGCCAAATGGTGTAATGGTTGCTTAGGCTTTTATATATATATATATATATATATATATATATATATATATATATATATATATACACACACACACACACACACACACACACACACATATATATGTAGAGAGAGAGAGAGAGAGAGATTGTTTCTACTTTATACCTAAATTTAGTGTTAGATAAGCTCATTATTATGACTCTTCAATTCCAGGAAGTTTTTCATACATACTTGAGATATCTCTTTGTCAGCTATGTAGTCATTTGAAATGAATCCCATGTTGTTACACACAATGATATGCGAACAATAGGTTTTGTAGATGTTCCTGACACTTGTCTACTTGCCTGCCTGTGAGGGATTAAGAATTCTCTCTCCGTTTTATTTATTCACTACACATTCATTCAATACTACTATAGAATATGCCATATATAATATTAGATTCTTGATAAAAACCTTAAAAGTGCATCCTATAATATGCATATAACTACAGTTTGCATTTTATGTTCCTATAAAGATGTAACAATGTGTATTATTAACAGATCTATTTTTTCCATTCTACTCTTAGATGGTGATAGAAATGGAATTTTTCTTTTAATGATTACACCTTTAAACTGTTCAATAATAGCTGGGACCAGTTTGGCTCAGTGGATAGAGCGTTGGCCTGCGGACTGAAAGGTCCCGGATTCGATTCCGGTCAAGGGCATGTACTTTGGTTGCGGGCACATCCCCATTGGGGGGTGTGCAAGAGGCAGCTGGTCGGTGTTTCTCTCTCATCGATGTTTCTAATTCTCTGTCCCTGTCAATTCCTCTCTGTGTAAAATCAATAAAATATATATTTTTTAAATAAAAAAATTAAACTGTTCAATAATAATAATAATTTTTTAAAAAGTAAGCTGGTAAAAGGGTTTAAAAAACATCTCAAGCATCAGGTGAATGGGAAGGAACAGAATGAAGCAGGAAAACAGCCCAGTGAAGTGCCCTATAATTAAGGTCTGAGATTGAAGTATCTTCCAGAAACACCAATGTAATTCTCAAGGAAGCCTCCTGTAAGGGCATTAAAGCACCAGTAGTTATTTTAAAAGTGGGTTCCTTCTTCCTTACAGGTCAACATAATCACCACCTGTCACTCACTGGTGTTATTTTTTTGTTTTGTTTTCATCTTGTCTCCTTTTTTTTTTTTTTTCTTTTCTTATTGGTGAACTCTCTTCAGCGCTCTTCAGATAAGCTGGGTAATTTCTTTAGAGTAGTCTAAGCTTAGCAAGAGGAAAACAGGGAAATAGAATGTATTGGTGGTGCAAGGCCAGGTTCATCAGGCTGGGCTCCCTTTCCTAACTCCCTTGCTTGATGGGAAGCTGGTAAAACCTCTGGCAATTGGTGTGACCTGCCCCATCAGGCAGAATGCACCTGTGAACACAGAAAACTCTGGGCTCTTCTACTCCGAGGAGAACACCAAGGTGGGAAGATTTCCTCAAAGCTCTGACTTCCCAATGGTGTGGGTCTTTAATGTGTGGACAGCTTCACTTGTTTCATTTCCATTTGTCTCCTTTGGATAGCTTTCTCCCTAGGTGTGGCACACGGAGCTGCTTATAAAGTACACAAGAATGGGTGGCTTTCTTTGGGACGAACTTTCACCCTTGAAGCTCATTTACCATCTTCTGTTGCCTCTTCTGGCCAGAATGTTAGGCCTCACAATTTATTTTATGAAGAAGGCTCTTCTTCCATTCTTTCATTTATTTACTCATTTATTGATCCATTTCTGGGTGGGGTAGAACTAGAGATTGATATGACAAGGCCCTTAACCCAGGCTAATGACAATGTAGGAGGAAAGGCCAATGTTATAAATATCTTACAGCAAGAATTTATAAATATCTTACAGCAATGTTATAAATATCTTACAGCTCTGTGTGCCACACCTAGGGAGAAAGCTATCGTAACGTCACGGCAATCAGAGCTGATCATTCTAACCACAGTCTATGAATTAAACATCTGGTGTTTTTCCAGGTAAAATGTAAGACTATAGTTATCATCTTCGGTTGATTTTTTAGACACTCTCCTGGAGCATCTATCCAGAGGTCAACAACTAGCACTACTTTAGGTGCTGAGCTATAAATATGCTATCGGTTTCTACAATCTTGCAATTAATTAAAGTGCTGGATTTACTCCAAGACTTATTTGGTTAGTCATCTCAGAGCCAATAAAGGATGTTCCCCCTGTGTTTACTCCTTACCTGAGCTACTCTGACACAGTACTATGGTTCCCTTGATCCTTGACAGAACTGTTTATTAACTATGTATTGGCAGGCTTAATTCCTTTCCTTTCCACCACAGATCTAGCTCATGTTCTGGTTTTCATAAAGCATGTTTCATATCTACTAAAACACAGCAAGATTGCAGTAGTCTCAGCATATTTGATTCTTACAGATAATCACTTGCTTTTTCAAGTGTTGCATCAGAGAGTTAAGAAAAAATTGACATGCCTGTGACTAATCTGTAAATAGCAAATTATATTTGTCCTACATTGTCCAAAGTACCAAAGTTAACATATAAATTGCATACCTTTATTAAAATATCTGACTAGGAAAATATAAACAGCAAAGCTAAAATTGCTAAATTTCTTCATGACAATTTATAATTAACAATCAGGTTGCTAGCAACTCTGTTTTCAGAATATCTAAAATCCACTGTTGATATTAGAGAGGCTTTTCTGCAACAGCCTTAACAAGTATAGGTCTCAAATCAAATCAACAGAAACAATCTTTGAATATTCATTTGCATTTATGCATTAAATTTCAGCAACTACACTAGCTTTTAAATTGGGGGAATGTTATTTTTCTACATAAACTAACTGCAAAGAACACAACTGATTAAAATTATGTGACTTGTGTTTATACTTTGCACATGACTTTCCAACAGCAATTATTAAATTTAAGACTAAAATAATTATTTTGTTCACTATATTAGTCATGGATCCTAGCATGTGCCTTTTCATATAAATGATTGCTTCCTGTACATATGTAATTGCTTATGTATTATAGCATTTGTCATCAGGAACCACAGCTACTTGTGTACATGTCCAGTTATCTAGTTTGACAGTAAGCTACTTGAAGGGAGGCATCCTGATCCATGAAGGTATAAAAATGAAACCAGGTATCTCACTTTATTACAAATACCTTTTTCACTCGGATTATAAAAGAAGCAAATGGAAGACTATCAGCTCCATGTCTCTTTGATGCTACTCACACCTAACTGTCTACTGACAAAGGGATGAAATTCCTAACCCCTCAGACTTACAGTACAGCATCAGTACTGACGAGGCTAACAGTCGTAACATAGGCAGTGTAAGGTTCCCTGTTAGCTGCAAAATTAATGCAATGTATTAGCAGCCCTGAAGTAGACAAGGGTTCTAAATGGAGGAATTGAGGCAAATTTATGCAATGGAAAACTGAAGGGCTGCAAAAAAAGAAACAAAGACCTGTGACAAGTGCTGGGAAAGCCAGGCAACAGTAATTAGTAGGGAAGAAGCAAAACAAGATGTGCAGACTGACAAAGAAGGGAACTTGAAATTCTCCATTCATCCTTGGTAACGTGGGACCACACACACAAAAAATGTGAAAGTGGTTTTAAATGAAGCTCATGTGATAATGCCGAGGCTGCCACATTGTCTGGGTTGCTTTTTGTCGGTGTTGGTGTGGAAATGGGGTGCTTTTCCTTACCTCCAGATGCTCTAAAATATAGGGCGGATTTGTCATGCCCAGCCTCAGCATGGCTCCCTCAGGAATCACTTCAACCAGCTTCCACAGCAGTGTGGGGAGATCAGTGCCAATATCTCTGCCATAAGCCCCTGTGTCTTCACTGGTCAACCATATCTCGCAAACACCCTCTGTGAATCAAAGGAGATAATGAACAAATCTGTTGCAGAGCCGTTTCCTTCATCATACAGCTGCTCACTCTTTTTAATGCACTATTTCTCAGCATTATTATGCAGGCAGTCTGGGTATTCAGTTGCAGGAAAAAAAGCAGCTTATCCCATGGTAGCACTGGGTTATTAAGTTCATTTTATGAACACCAGAGAGTTACAACAATGCTGTAAATTATCAGTGCGTCCTATGGAGTGATTAACATTCACAGCCAATCAGTTCAAGCCTGTTTCCTCCAAAGCACTTTGATCAAGACTAAGGCTGCAATCCCATCACAGGGAAAACCTACTTTATTGAACAACAGAAGTCTCAGAACTGAACAGTCGCACTACTGAATAGGTACTATCACAGTAACCTCACTAATCAGTCTGTCACCAACCCAAGGAAAAATGTCAAGTATGGTTAAGGTTTAGCTCACAAATTATTAATTATGAGGCATCCATTTTTCCTGTAGTGACTCTTCTAATTTGACTTCTTTAGTCAATTAAGAACACAGTGCAGGGCTTTGTTCAAAGAAGTTGGTTGTGTAAGTATTTGTGTTGGGAAACCTGCTTACTGACAGTTTGCATCCTATTTCCCATCCATCAGACCTCAGGAAAATGTCTACATGTTTTGTTGCTGTTGTTGTAAACAATTCTGACTTCAAATAATACAGCCTAGAATAACTTCCTTCTAAAAATCGAAAGGAAATACTTTTGGATAACCTAGTATTAATTAAAATGAATAAAACAGAGTTAGCAAGAGTTACCCAGATTTGCATGGCACACAGAATGCTTCTGAATGCACATTCAATTAAAGGATTAGCCTATTTGAAAAGGCCAAATGCTTCACAAGTCTCAACAAACAATAAAATGGACCTGTGAAATGTGTTCACGCTGACGTGATTTGTTGCTGCTGAAGAACCTAAGCACATATACAAGGCACACAAAGAAAGACGACAGCCTCAACCAGAAGTATACATTTCTGGAAAGAATCTTAAAACTATAATTTTAAGTCATCTTTAGTTGATGGAACAGAAGAGTTTCAAAAATACATTAAATATTCCTAGCCAACAGAGACAACAAATAAAACACAAGGCTCTTAAGTGAATATAAACTGAAAATTAACAGAGTATGGGAGCAAAAAGCAAAGAACTTTCCTCTCCTTAATGTGTTCCACAGTGGGAGAAACATACATGAAGGTAAGATCTCCAATCACTATTCTTTCCTTAAAAATTAGAGATATAGTTATTAATCAAAAAACTAGCCAACCCACACAAAAACATGTTTCCTTTTCCCCACTTGTCTTTTTGAGACATGCACATCCTCACCCATACCTAAACAACACAGGAAATACAAGGATAGAAATAGGATTTTCATTTCCTGAAATTAAAGAAACAACTATCACAGAATACAGGATATAACAATAAAAACAAAAAAGCTCCATTTAAAAAGTTGGAGATGTTTTTAGTATTTGAAAAGCAGTTGTGTTATGAATATATGGGTTTTCTTAAATTAAATACATAATTCCAGAAAGTAATACACCTTTGTTTAGTTTTACTCATATAATAAAAAAATGTATCCTCAGAAGAAACAGTCTAACATGTGTATAGGTTCCCTGTGTAGTCTTGTAATTTTATAAATATTCTTTGTCCATGGAGTAAATACTGTTCTATTTATATATTTTTAAAAAATGGATTGCAATTAGTGGCATCATCTTTATTTTAATATTACATATGCCATCAGATACTGAACTCATACAACCTTTTTTTCTTTTAAATCTTATCACAAAATCCACTCCAGGAAAAGAGATGGCTAAGTAACAACATAAACAGATTTTAAAACACTCTGAAAGAGGTTATAAAAACAGGACATTATCCATGATTTTCCAGTTACTGGCATTTGAGCAATACAATATGAATATTTTAAAATGAACAGAATAATTTTAATTTATAATTTTTCCATCCAAATGGTTCCACGTTACGCCTTATGTAGAGAGAGCAAGTTCCTGGAACAGTGCCTTGCTGTTGCTAGATGAATATAGAAGGGGAAAAATCACTATGAATAGGAATGGAAATAACATCCAAGCAGAAATAGCAGCCAGCTCTCAAGCTGCATAGGTGGGGACCAATAGCCCCCTGGTGGGCTGAAACTTCAAATTAAATCACATAAAGAGGAAGCAGCTGTAACACTAAATCAGCAACAACAGGAATAATGGTCTTGATGTCTCCAAGATCAAGGCTGCTAAAGTGCTCTATATAATAGCAACCTGGCTTAAAACACAATGAAATGGGAGAACGTGTGCAAAATGTGAAACCCGTGGACTTAGGGAGAATTGTGCCTGGCCAATTCAATCCAAAAATTTGTCAAAGATGATTTTGCTCTTAATCAATGTGAGAGAGTACAGATTTTGTAAGGTTATATTTCAAGCATGAATGCTAATGAGAGCTGATCCCTCAAATACTTAGGATAGAGAGAGTCATTTCACACTAAAGGTGAAGCTAAATATGGAACCCCATCTGACATCCTTTTCCCTGGGAAGTCTTGTGATTACTCACAGGGCAAGCAGTTCCTGTCAGGTCAGCTTGCATATGAATTCACCAGGGAAACCGAAGGCTGGAGTCTGTAATCGCTAATGGATATGGGGACACATGCATGCTTCTATCTGCACACTTAATTGGCTATACTGTGGACAGAAGTGCTTGCCTAAACAGCTTCATTCCTTAAGGACTTCAGTTATGAGCTCTATTCCTTTGCACATTCATTTCTTTATTCATCCATCAGACAGTTATTAGGCCGTTACCTACTATGTGCCCTGCAGCAATTCCAGCTCATGACAGATATGGATTCATCATTAAACTTCTGTGATCTAAGATTGGCTGTTATCCAGGAGCTGGCAAGGGGACAGTGACAGACATCCTGGGTACTTCACATACATCACTAATGGAGGTGGTGGAGGGGGTGAGTATTGAAGAACACAGCCTTAGAAACCAAAATGAAGGGTGAGCTGGAAGTGGATATGACGTCAGCCCCAATGAGATAGATAGGCCCGGTCTGCAATATAATGTGGACTTTGATTAATACATGTCAGAAAAACAAACACATGGAAATGAAAAAGAGAAGCAAGCAGGAAGAACTGAGATAAGAGAAGTGAATGCCTAGTAAAACCTCCCATGTCTGTAAAAATAAATATATGCAAAAAACAAAAAAAGAAAAAGAAAAAGAAAGAAAGTAATGGCTGGGAAAAAATGGGAGACAAAAATTAGCTTTTAAAGCATCCAAAAAAATTTTTTACTTTTTCCTAAAATTATTCATCTGCCTGAATTTTGTTCATTTTTCTTAAATTATTCAGTCTCTGACTTCTAAGGAACCCTAGGTTCTTCTGACCCTTCATCCTTTTGTTGTATTAATTTTGGAAAAAGAAAAGCAAATACGAAGAAATGAAATGCATCTTGCAAGGTAAAAAACAATAACACAAAAAGCCTTTAAAAAGCTTACTTATTAGGATCAATTATCATTTATCCACAAATTTACTGATCAGGTTTGAGTTGAAACACATTGCTATTTCCCCCTGAACAGAAAGCAACCTCAACAGCTGGATTTTGGTCTTTGTTCCATAGTAATTTGAGATGACAAAGGATGGAAAAGTAGGAGACTTAAACTATAATTTTCTCAAGAAAATAGTCTCACAACAAAGAAAATCCTTTTTGAAAAATCAAACTTTGCCAAAACTCAATTTCAAAAGATCATGATTCACTATAATTTTCCTGTGTATGAGTTTTATTGCAATAAATTAAAATACTGGTAAAGATTGATTTCATCTGGTCCAAGGAGTGATATTTCTCTAGTAGCTCTTGCTCTATCATGGGGGGAAATTTCCACCATAATATGTTGCTGCAAATGTTTCATCATGAGTAGGGTTTAAAAATAAAGACTAAAAAAATATGAAAACTGTAAATTATAATTAATGGAATAAGTCATTAAAGAACACTAGATGGCAAGAAAATTACATCAAATAAACATAATAAAGAAAAACACCTTCAAATCTGCTAAATCTTTCTTCCTCGGAAGATGTGTTGTCCCCCCTTCTCCTGTCTTCTGCTCTGCCTGCCACCCAACCCTCCCCTTCCTCCTCTCAATTCCACCTATTATCCCTTCTCCACCAGTCCAGTCTTTATGCGCCATTTTCTTCTAAGGCCAATAAAGAATATAAGTTAAACATACAGTATGTTATATTTATGCATGTGTATTAAATATTCAGATCTTAGTTCCTGATGCGTTCTTTAAAGGGTCATAGTGCATATTAACTAGATTTTTATAGGCTCATTCTTCTTAAAAATAATCTTAGAAAATTCAGAAATAAATACAACTCTCTGTTTAAACACTTCAAAAGTCATGAAAATTTATCCAATGGAGATGTTTCTAAGTAATAATATCTATTTATAGGCATCTTCTAGTTATTTAACTTATTTATTTAATAACAAATTAGACAATGGTCCTTCTAATCCTATTACTAGACATTAAGAGTTTTATGTTTTCCTGTCAGATAAAAAAGGGATTTAAATGACAATTTTATTAAAGATTGCCTATGAAGTGAATCAACTAGGGATATCTTATAAATATATAACAATGATATATAACTCATGAAAACCCAATTAATAGGCCACTATATTAGATAATTATTCATTACCTAATTCTTCAATTATATCATGTTTATACTATTTTTACAAACTTAAAAGAATTATTAGTGACCCAAATTATTTTTTCACTGTTTTCTTTTGAACAATGTTTAATTTAGAGGAAAGATTCAGGAGTCCAACATGAATAACCATCACTCCTTCACTCGGACTCATATATAGCATTTTGTCACATTTGTGAGCACTCAATCTCTCCACACCCATAAGCACATGGTATATTGTATGTTCTTCCCCCCTGAACCCTTGGAGAATTAATTGCAGACATGATAGCACTTTAAATCTAAATAA